TGGGCCCACCGCAGAGCTCTGTATTAATGTTATAAAATAAACAGATTCTGTAAGTAATGAACGGTCTAGCTCTCCTTTTATTTATAGTGTTTGCTCATTGAAAACGAAAATGCATTTGTATTTGTACGATGTGACTTTATTGTTTATTCCTAATCTTTTTTAGTAGCAGCGGCCACCTTACCTATTTCTGCCGCCAAGCAATAATATAAGGATTACTGCGTTCCAGTTTTGACGGGTAAGGGTGCTGGCAAAATTACTGACGCATGGGACTTCAACTTATGTCTCATGGTGACGGTGCAGTGGCAATGCCCCTCAGGTTTTTGTGTTTTAAAGCTCTGAGTGGCACTGCAATTGTTATGGACGTGCGTGTCGCTTACCACCAGGCGCATGAATAGTTTGTACAGTCACTTGGTATCATAAAAAAAAAAATTCAAAATGTTACCACAACTTAACTTCGTGCGGAAGCCGCGTATGGTGATCGAGATTTTAGCGCGTAATTTACAGCCACCTGTTCACCGGTCGATATTTATGTTGCCCTGAGGCCATGGCACCAATAAGTCACCAGTTCACCACATCTACACGTACAAAAAAGAAACATGTTATTCAGCTGATTATACAAAAATAAGAAGACAAATTATTATACAAAAGAGCTCGTCAGGTACTTTTTATCTTGTCAAATGTCACCGAAACACAATTAGTTATTTAAGCATCTGTTTCATTTTCCATAAATAAATGACATAACTGTAAACTGTTACATAAGTTCATATAAAGTGAAAGAAATCAAAACAAATTACACGTTCTATTAGTCCTGGAATTATTAGCGCATTTTGTATGTGGCTCACGGTGCGTATTACCATAATTTTCTTTGACCATATCATAGCATCGGACTCTGCAATTAGCCTAGCCTAACTGACATATTTGCTTAAATTATCTCGTACTAGCACGAACCCATCACCAGCCTATAGGCGGGCACGCCTGCGGCAATTAGGAATCTAAACTTACGTTACCTACATGAAATAAATTTTATTTAGATTGAATTCCTGTGCGATAAAGTTATCTACACACATTATACTTTTATAAATGTGCTATACACTATATTTTACTAATGTTTATGTAATGTTTTTACTAATGTGCTATATATATTGTATACACTTCGTTCGCTTGCACTACAGACGTGTTTTGGATCAATCTTATAAGTCTTTCTTAATACACAACGTAGTAAGGTAAACTTATCTATTTCCTTAAGATTCAATTACTTTGTTTTAGTTTGAAATATTTCCGTAATCTAGACATTAAATTAACTTTTAAGTTTAAATAAAACAAAACGAATTCTGGGAACAAACATGTGTAAATAATGTTCATTGTCTATTTAATTTGGTAAAAATATTATCTGTCATGAGCCCATATTGCTAAAATCCAATAAAATCTAGGAATTGTTAGAGCGAAGGAAATGGACTGAATTACTGGAACAGTTGCTTTAGTATTTCAATCCCTGCAATTTCGCATGTCCATCTCGAGCCGAGATGGAGTTCCGCTTTCTTCCTTGAAGCCTGACCGGCGCAGGCGCAAGTTTTCGCCCCCCATGGTCGGCGCACGTGGGCGGCGAGGCGCGCGCGCACATTATGTCTTAACGCGGGGGGCACGCGACAGGTGGGAGGGGCACTGTGACACGCTCCGTGACGTCAGTTTCAGGGCTGCCCCTGACCTTCATCAAACTATAATATCTGCACGTCACAACACAGTTATTTGTAACAAAATCTTTATTTTGTACTAATATTTTAGATAATACAACTCTTTACTTATTTATTTTGTATTCAAGCTTTAAAAAAAATTAAATATATATTATCTCAAAGAAAATTATAATTCAAATCAGAAAATTTCAAATCTTACGAGACAACCCTACTGCAAAACGCCTCTCAAGAGAAGATTCTTGGTTTGCCGGAGAAGTATGATTTAATTAAAGTTATTAAAGCCGACCAGGGTTAATTGAAATTTGTTTGTAATAGAAAGCAAAGAAAATTAAAATACAATTTTGCTGACCCCGTCTGACCTAAGCCTTAATCTGAGCTCCACACAGGGCAGGCGCACTTATTATGAATAAATACTCTGCCACGTTGAAGCATAGTTATGCTATGTTATGCTAGTTATGCCGATATACAACTCTCTTCTTAAGAAGGTAGTTACCTTCTTAAGAAGAGAGTTGTATATCGGTGGAGTAAATTTTTGTGCCTTATACTAAAATTCAATATGATTTACGTTTGTCTTGATGCAAAGTAGCTAGTAGCCAAAATTAAGTATTATTTTTATTACAATTGAATGAAACTATGAATCGTAATTCGTAACAAATAATGGGTATGCGCATACGGAATGCTAATTGCGGAACGGCATCAAATCCGTCGCCGCAGAGTTAAAGCAAACGCTTTTATTTTTAAACAGCCGTATACTTAGGGGAAATTACGTCGACATTTTCATCAGTGTGCCGACCGCAGGGTATATTATTTTAATCGCGGACGCGGCACCTTGCCTGTGTATCTACCGTTTCCTAGAAAGGTGTATCAGCTAAATACGCTGCTATTAGTGTGCCCAAGCAAGTGAATTTTATCTCCATTGTCAAAGCTTCGAGACACATGCTGGTGAAACATTTAATGGGAGACCTAAGAGCAATAGACACGCGCACCCGCTCCACATAACTACAGCAAACTTAGTACAACGCAGTGACTTGAACACAGTGAATTAATTGATAACTTGAACCCAAAAACCATGAAAAACCAAAATTGACTTATGACATCAATATTCGTTAAAAGACATTAAAGAAATTAGTTCTTTATAATTCTGAAGCGAGGAAAAATTTGCCCGTATTATAATTATAAGTATAATCTAAAATTATATAATATTCAACTACCAGAGAATAGCGACTTAGCTATGCATACATACGTAGCTCCATAGATCGCAAGAAGGTTGTTTACATAAGGACCCGTTTTGTGTTACAAATAAACTTTTTATGATGCAAGTGACGGGACTAACAAGTCGTGCGCCTGGTGTTAAGCGACACGCCTGTATATAATAGTTGCAGTGTCACTCAGAGCTTTAATACATAAAGAGCTGCGCGGCACTGCCATTGCGCCCGACTTCGTGAGCCTAAGTTGACTAGTCTCATGCCCGTAATTTCACCAGCAATATTACCCTTCAAAATTGAAACGCAGTAATGCTCACATTACTGCTTAGCGGCAAAAATAGGTTACGGTTGGACGAACTCTACCACAAGGAGCCCTACTGCTATAAAAATTAGATGAAATGCAAAGCGTTTCTTTTACAATGATGTATGAAAATATCTTAATGACATTGTTTTAACTAACCATTTTCCAAGATTAAAATCCTCTTTAAAGCATGAGTTTTTGAGTAGATGAAGAAATTTCAATTTTAATGGTCTAAACCGTTAAAGGACGTCTGTGCCCGGATTGTTTCTAAATTTGCGTTTTTTTTATACAGGAGGATCTTTTAATCCACGGGGATAGCGTGTACGATGTTATCGACAAACAGGACCAGCAGGCCGTGCGTTCGGAGCTGTCGCGTGCGCCTGCCGACGGCGAGGACCGCGTCTTCCTCTGCCGCATGAACGTCGCTCGAAACGCGCGCCGCCAGATGCGCTTCGGGGACCAAAAGGTAAGTCTCTATTGTGAAAAAATGGGCCATATATTAACCTTTAGAACTATGAATCTTAAAGTTACCGATGTGATGGATATTTGCATCATCGTATTTCGGTTGTGACTTTAAAAAGGGAAATTAATACCACAGTGTCGTTACAGTGCCATTTATCACACACTGGGCACGACGACAATTTAAAACTGTAACATTAAAATTACGATCGAAATCGTGAATTTTTCTACCATGCCAGATGGCGTTACTATGCGTGGACAGCAAAACAAGGGGTTTCCCGCGTTTGTCGATTTTTATATTATACGACTTACATGATATTTGTTTCCTCCTTTGTACTCCTGGATTTTACCGCTGGACTTAGAACAGACAAAATGAAGTATTATAATAGAAACTCCGCTCAAAACCTCTGTTCTTTATGTTAAGAGGGTTACTTTGTTATCATATGATAAATATTTGCAGATATTCGTCGTAAGCATAATAAAAATTAATATTGTTGTAATATATCTTACGGTTAAAAAATCGACTTCAAAAAAAGGAGGAGGTTCTTAATTCGACTGTTTTTTGTATGTATGTTACGCAATAACTCCGGCAAAAATTTGTGAACCGATTTTGATATTTTTTTTGTTTTTTTGTTTGAAAGAGGGTACCTCAGTAATGGTCCCATTTAAATTTGGAGAAAATATTCCACCTCTAAGAATGGCAAACTAGGGAATGAACGAGTTTTGGGGTCGGTTTTTTAAGTACTTTGGCCTGAGATTATTATAATATATTATTTATAATAAGTAGCTGTTACACACGGGATTATCCACGAACATATTAATATTCTGGTATTAAAGAACGTCGTAAATTATTTTTTCAAAATATAAAGGACTATCCAATGTTTTAGATTAGGATAGTTTAAAAATAGACAAAACGATGAGTGCGGCTAAATAGTGTTAAAATTTAACATACTATGTAAATGGAATTATCCGCAGATGCCGCACCCCGTATGTGCCGTAAGTAATTAACATAAATTACTAAAAAAAATTAAAACCAGTAACGAATAATTTAACCTATTGAGCAATAGGTTAAATTACTATTTATAAGCAACAAATTTTTACATGACCTAACTTTACATTAAATTAAATATAACAATGATAGCTGCTAATATACAACTGATGTTAAAATTTAGCATGCAAATGGCATTACTTACAGATGCTATACGTTGTTTAGCAAAATTATGTGCCATAAGTAAGTTATTAATATGAATTACTAAAAAAGTGTAAACCAGTAACGAGAGGTCAATAGGTTATATTACATTTCTAGACATTTTAATTTAGCCAGGCATACATACTCCAATAGATGCGAAATAATTGGAGAGGTAGAATCTTTTCACTAGTTGATTAATATGCTGTCGCATCCGATGAACTCACCCGCTGAATAAAACATCTCTTTCTCATCATCTCGGATCTCATCTCGGATTTAAATCTTTAGTTTAAATCTCAAACTTCTTATTAAAATTGTAACGTCAGTCAAACACGTGACCGACGACGCAAGAGTTCAAACTTGAAATATTATAAACAAAATTGATGAGAGCATAATTAACAAGTTTACTTTCAAAACGTTAAGTGAATATAAAATGTATGTATAAAAAGGTCGAGCGGACTGACTGACAAATTGATAGGCTTCGATATAGTCGAGTTATTACACATAATTGAATGCTCACGCGCTTGAAAGTGTGTGTGGTGTGAAGTTGGACCTGTTCTCCGTTGTAATTATTTCCTTGTGGGCAATAAAATCATAATCAGCAGTAATCAGTCTTATCTGATGTCTGAGATCGATGGAAGTGTTTATTACAGCTGTTTGTTAGTTCACAGTGGAGGCGTCGGCAGAACACCTCGTGAGAACATCGCGTAAACAATTAACAAGTTGAGAGTATTATTGAAGGTACATAAAACCAATACCTAAATGAAGTTTGTCGACGTAAACAACATTTGGAAATTTGCCGGTGTATTTAGGGTGTTAAATGTCAAATAGTAAGCTATAAATTTCGTTACCTTATCGCTCTTATTTTATAGTAGCAACAATTGTAATATTGTGATTTACATACGTACTTAGAATCTAGACAATTTCACAGTGCACTAAAACTAAAACGGACTTTCTGGGGCAATATTATGAGTAGGTGCGTAAATTAGGTACATAAATTAAGATTATTCTAATCGAGTAGACACCCACACCAGCAATAAGTGGCAGAGCGGGGCGAATGGCGCAGTCACAGAAACTTGGGAGTAACGAATGTTCGCAATCGCGGCAGTCATTGTATCCAATTAATATTGAACTGTGCACGTGCGTCCCGTCCTGACTTGAGCCTTAAACTACGGCTATGCGACTAAATGTCACACGTTCGCTAATTTATTACACGTCTCTCTAACCAGAACGGTCTTCTTGTTGCTTTCCTACAAAGTATTGATATTGGGTACATGTTTTACGAAATCACGACACTAAAGAATAGGCCACATAATATGTTAGCACATTTAAGTACTGCACCCATACGTAACATTCGTTTTACGACCTCATCGGTTAGATGAAGATTTCAGATCAGATAAAGATTTAGATAGAACCGTATATAGATCAAAGTTTTGAATTTAACAAATGATAAACAACTATTAATTGCAAAAGACAGACCATTGGTTAAATATAATGTACTTATTTATTTATCTGCTCACACGCGCGATAATGTTTATTCAGTGAGGCGGTCAGCCTAAGGGCGCCTCTCATCGAAGATACATTTTATAAGACAGAAATTATTGTGAAAATACTATTGAAGCCACGCCTGCGAACTGAGCGCCCCTCGCTGCGAAACAGTTCTGTGTGGTCGTATGGAAATGAAGCAATAATCGCAACTCTGACATACTTTTATAATCGTAAAACATTAGTTTTACCAAACTTCCTTACGACTCAGACGTCAAGCAACTTTAATATCGATATATATTCTAATTATTATTATTATTATCTATCTACCTAGTTATTTATTATTGTAATAATACCGTTAGAACACCTGTAGCTATAAACTCCTTTTATGATTCCGAATATAACGCTGATTGTTATAAGGCCTTTATTTTGACATCAAACGACATTTACATCACATGAGCAAAGGGATTACTTCTAATTAAAATTAATTTTAATTACCATTAAAATAAAATTCCTTCATTTCAAGCTTCAATTAGCACACTCTAGTACCTTTTAGCTGGGTTTACTCTGAATGCAACTCAGTGTAGGTAAGCAGTATCAAGAGTCAGCAGTATCAGCTGATGAAGTTAAGAAGGGCCACTAATGAGGCTTATCGAGCCGCGCGCCGCGATGACATGTGCGATGGCTGCGTATGCGCTGCCGCTACACACCCCTTGTTAGTGGACATTACTATACCCTTGATTTTCAGAAACTACACTGCCTCTATATGTAAAGAAATCTTTTGGTAAATCTAATTGGATGGACAATTTGAATCCGTAATTAAAAAAAAAATCAAAATATTACAACATTTGAAATCAATATCATGATAGGAAAATATGTTTACCCTAGGAAACGTGGCTGAAATAATTTCGGAATATTTACTCTTAGGCTCCCATTTAGTGTGCACACTGCACGACTACAGTACTGAAATATAGAAGGGTATTGGAAATGAACATCACTTCTTACGCCTATTGCGTGCAGAGGGACCAGGTTCAGTTGTGTTATCATCATTACCGTCATCATCCTCGTCTTCGGAGGTATTTTTTAACAAATTTCGTAACTGAGTTTGTCTAACTTTGTTAGTGTAAGTTTCTGACACATAAACTCCGTGCATGATGAAGCACACAAGCACAAATGCACCACCAATCATCGTCGCAAAGATCACCCACAACATCGCACCAGTAACTGATAGATCATGCTCTATGACGTACGCCTTGTCTAATACCAACTTAGTAGGTAGTTTTAGTGGTATATCCATTTTGAAATACAGATCACTCATCAGTGTATCGTCAAGATCTTTTGATAATCGCTTATATACGTGGTGATCTAACCATCGAGCTAGCCATTTTTTGTTCAGTTGCACTAGACGTCTCCTTACTATTTCATGAGATTTCCCGCTTCCCATCCACTCATCCTTACCGCTGTTCCATTCTAGCAATAGAGTCAGGCATGTTGTATTGTGAGGTACTATTATATTTTCAGCAAACTTCACGAAACGTGGGAGTTCATAACTCACAAAATGAAGAGCTGCAACCAGTTGACGACATTTTGACTTAGAGAGCTGTTTAGCAATATATTCGAATTCTTCAGTTTTCTTTCAATGGTACAGTTTATACTTAACATAAGTTCCATGAATAGTACAATATATATTGAAATATTATACTTATAATCAAATAAATTGGAAATAATTCCAGATTTGTACATGGATCCAGATATTAAGACTGACTTTTATTAAACTCAGACCCTTATAAAAATATAATATTGTATCAATGCGACTTTCTGCGTATGGAAATATGTTTTTGCGTGGTAAGATGGTGGTAAGCTATTTTTTTCTTATTTCTCTTATTAATTTCAAGACTTGAATAAAAATAAGTTTTAGAGTGGTTACACACGGCGACGTTTAGCAGCAATGCAAACGCACGTTCGTGAAACGCGCGGTTGCATCGCTACACTTGCGATTTATAGGTGATTGCATCGATGCAAACGCGCAACTGCATCGATATATTCGCGTGATTGCATTGCGTTTGCATCGCTGCTTAAAATCGAGCCTGTGTGTAAAGGTAGACGATTAGCGACTGTCGAAAAGTCGCCGTGTGAAACGGCTCTTATATAACACCTTCGCTTTTCATCCTAGGATTCTGTCATAAAGTGACACAATTTAGTGTAGTCTTTGACACAGACTATGGAAACCAATCGATCCTGCATTTTTTCCATCTCCATCCATCCATCTATGATATCATTCGTGTTATTGTGTCATGTGTCAAATGTCATTACGAATAATCCGCATTCCTTAAAAC